GGATAGAAGCGCAGGTGCGCTTATAATAAAACAATGTTTTTTAGGGGGGTGCGCTTCTAATTGAGTCATTTTTATAAGCGCATGCGCTTATATAATGACATATACAAATTTATCAATTTAAGACACCAAGTTGTATGTTTCACTCTTGCCATTTCAACCGAGTCGAAAATTTTCGCGTCACAAAGCAGAATCTCCTGCAAGCGATTCTCTTCCAGCACACAGGGGCCAAGATGCGACACTTTGCAGTCATGCCAGCAGATCCTGACTGGACGCGCAGCCAGTCAGGTCTTCGAGAGTCAAACTCAGCGAAAATGAGATTGTACTCGCTTCAAAATTGAAACTCGCTACCGTTTCGAACAGAATTTTTAATTTAAAATTGTACATGCGCTTATAATAAGTAACGTTTTCACAGGGGGTGCGTGTATAATTGAGGATCGGCCATAAGCGCATTGCTTCATATAGAAGCGCATGCGGTTATCATATGCCTCCGCTTCTATCAGGGTGATACGGTATGTAAATTTATATAAGAAGTGTTTCCCTAGCGAGATTTGAACTCCTGATCTTCGCTGAATCTCGCAACTTCGAAACCACTGCACTAAACAATATGTCAACGTTAAGGGTCGTGTTTACCAAGTTGTGTTTGAAAGCTATAATCGTCAATCTCTAGGGTTTCGTGAAATTTATTTTCTCTCGCTTCTCTTCCAACCACATACTCCTTCTACTCCCGCCACTCATGCCAGTCCAGCTCTTTAGGTAAGCACTAGTATCTATATTCTCTCTATTATATGTCAGAGTTATATGACATAGCTACTGTAGGCTATAGTGGGGTAGCACATATGGGGTACAGTTGCCTAGGGTTTGCCTTTTGTACCCAACTTTCACTTAGTCATTTCATTCCTGTTTTCTTGATTCACATTATATCCATTCCTTCTATCTCCTTCGGTTATTCTATCTCTTTATCGATTCTCCCTCCCTTATTCGTCTCCGTTCTTCGATTTCCGTTATTAATCTTCTCATAAACGTCGTTCTGCTGGTGCAAGTCGCGCTGGCGTCTTTTTTAATAGTGCTAGACGGGCTAGACGCGATCGCGCCATGCTCAGCGTCATGTGCGTTATCCATTTACATATTCGGTTTTCTGATTTTCATGTTCCGTTTCTTGTTTCTCTCTAATCTCTTCTCTTCTTCTTTCAGTCCTCTATCTCTTCCTTATTTTCCATTTTCCGGTTCACATCCTCTTATTCTAGTCATTTACTTCTTATTCTTAGTTAGCCCTCCCTCTCCTACTTCCTCTCGTTCTGATGACGGGCTACGGGACTTTCGCTAGGTAAGCTCCTAACTTGCAACATAAACTCGTTCGATCCGTATGTTTGTTAGGTCGACTTGATTCTAACCTAGGACGACTTCGATCTAAACTAGGTCGGCTTAGATCTTGTTTTAACACATGTTTTTTTTTCGAAACCGTAGTTTATTGAACGCTCTCTCTATCTCTCGTTCATTCTCTCTCGTTCTCTCTCTCTCTCTCGTTCTCTCTCTCTCTCTCTCTCTCTCTCTCTCTCTCTCTCTCTCTCTCTCTCTCTCTAATGGTCCTTGTATTGATATAGCAGCAGAGTACAAGCATGCAAGTCATAGGTAACAAGTTAGCAAGGCACAAGGAGTCACAAGACCTCCCTACAATTCCACAAAGGGCTCAATGACTGCAAAGCAGTCCCCTAGGTGTAACTCATCCCCGATCCCCCCCACAGGCGGGTTCTCCACTGCCGCTGCCTCCCCTAGTTTGAGCAGGAGACCCACGGACTGGGCCCTTTGTAGGGCCATAGACCAGCGTTGCCTGAACTAATGCAGGAACTTAGCAGCGTAGAATGACTTGGAGTCGGCGTTGAAGTGGCGCCGAGCTGCAGTGTCCGCCAATAGCTTCAGGAAAACTGGCACCTCAGCACAGGGGCAGCCGTAGGTATCCATCGCTAGAGGAAAGAAATTCACCGTCTCTGGCCGGGCAGCATAGTGCTTGACCTTCTTGTCAGCCTGCTCCCGCGCCGCCCAGCCCCTGCCCTTCTGTGCCTCCGGGTCCCTAGTGCTAATGGGATCTGTGATGGTGACGTCGCACACGTAGACAGCGCCGCTGCTTCTGTCTGTCATCGTAAAGTCCGCGGTCTGTTCCTCAATGGGGCAGTATGCCGAGGTCTCGCTATGGACGATGAACCCTGCGTCTTGGGCCATGCTAATGCAAGCATCCCGCAGCTCGTTGTGTGTGTTGATACGGTGCTTGCCCGTGCCGCAACGGAGAAGGTGGTTAGGGAGGCGGGGGTCTGGGATAGCGGTATGGTCAGAGCAGTCGCAGTTTTTAGGCGTGGAGAAAGGAAGGGCCAGCCAGAAGCGCACGGCATTGGAGAAGTGAACGGGCCCTATCCTCCTGTTCGCCGCAATGGGGATGGCTGTCAACCAGTCCCCGGTCCTGTAACCGGTCAACGAAAACATCCGCTGCGTGTGTCCGCTCAGGGGGTTCAGCTCCATATGCCGTGTCTCCTGAACCTGCACGGCGTATCTGCTCCCGTGCACCTGTAAAGCTAGTGCATGTTGTAGTCTCACATCCGACCGCTTCAGCCGCTCCTTCTCCAGAATTTCTCGTGCATCCAGGGGTAACGCGGATTCACACTCAGTGAGCCACTCGTGAAGGGGAGTGGTGACGTCTGCAGGCAGCAGCATGTGATCCCGGGCCCGCGTCAGCGCGCCGCGAGGGGCACACTCCAGTGATGCCAGAAAAAGCGCGGCCTGTGTGAAGCTCGCGGCGTAGCCGAACACCCCTTCGATTAAGGGGTCTGTAATGCTGATTCCCCCTAGTGACGGCGGCAGGGAAGCTTGTGCCCAAACGCGAGATTTCTCGGCGCGGTGGGTTGGAACGCGGATGCCACAGGCGGTCAGTAGCGTCGTAAGCAAATCCATCCCCCACTGGCTCCAGGTATCGCGCGGAAGTAATCGTAGCGGCGTCGTCCTGGTGAGATATGCCACCCGCCTCGAGATACAATGGGTGAGCAGCAGTGACGTGACCTGGGGATCGGCTTTCTCCAGGAGTGGTAACGGTTTTGCCATCTCCCGCAGCTGTCCCGTCAGGAACTGCGCTGCCCCACGGTCGGGGCCTACGAAAATCCCCAGCAGCTGCACGCCGTCCTGGGAAAAAGGAACTCCCGGCGGTAGTTGATCAAACTCTGCTGCTGTTCTGCTCCAGGCCGCACATTTACATGGGTTGTGTGCCAGCCCCAATTGTGTCAAGTTGGAAGTGAAGTGGTTGAATGCTGCTACAGTGTCAGCCGCGTTCCCAAGGAGCGTGACATCATCTGCGTAGGCCAGACAAAGCACGTCTGGGTGTGTGGTGGCGGTGTCGCGAAGTGTGGCGTGAATCCCAGCCGCGAACAGTAACGGACCCAATGGATCTCCCTGGCGAACTCCGCGCTCACTTCGCAGGGGTTCGGAGTTGAAATTGGCGTCTAGAAGCAGCTGCGATGGGTTACCGTAGGTTAGTTTCACGAACGGCAGTAGTGGCGAGAGGGCGGGATCTTGTAACGCTGTGGTGATGGCATGTCGCGAAACGCTGTTGAACGCGTTCGCAATGTCCGCTTGCAGTACCATGCTGGTGGGGTGAACGTCCAGGTAGGCTCTGGCCGCGTGGATTACTGTTTCGGCTCCACCTGGCACTGCCACGCCATACTGTAGAGGCAAGAAGAAATTGCGGGCAGCTTCTCCCATTGCTGATAGGGCCGCCTTGGCAGCCAGCCTCGTCAAGCATTCGCCTATCGCTATTGGCCGAGCCCCTCCCCAAGGTTTGGCCAAGGCGATGAGTCGAGACACGTTGAGGAGGTTTGCCACCGAGGCTGGCAAATTTCCTTCCAGGATGGTATTTACTAAGGCGTGCAGGTGGGTGCTGACCAGTGCATTTGTGATTGCCGCGTCGCGCAGGTGCTCAAATGTCATGCCCGACGGCCCGGCTCCAACTCCATTTTCGCATCTACCCAGCATCTTGGCAAAGTCAGCGTGCGGGATTGAAAGCGTTGACCCTTGTGGCGTGGGCCATGTCACCTCCCCGAGTTCAGCAGGCGGGTGCTTCAAGCGCAGCTCCTCCAAGATTTCGGGGCTCGGGGTACAGACGGGTGTTGACTCCAGGGCCAGCACGGCCCGTCGCAGGCTGCCACGTTTCGCCAGGCCTTCGGCTCGGCTGAGCACACCAGCTGCGTCGGGCTGATGTCGAGGCGGTGGAGGCGCATTGACTGCGTCCGCCGCGTCCTGATACAGCTGCTCCGATTCGCCACGCTGGAAGGCTCGGAGTCGGGTCTTGATTTCCGGCCAATTCGGTCGTCGTGGCGAGGTTTGGCGAAGTGTTAGGCGCGGGAGAAACAACAGCAGGCGCCAACCTGTCTCTGACTCGGGGTTTCGTGAGAGGTGCAGTAACGGCGTCAGTAACGCCTGCGAGAACAGCTGGCACAGGTTTGGCGGTAAACGCCGCGACAGTGGAGGCTGACGACTGTCGCATAGTGCTGCAATATCCCAATTCGTAATGCCAGCGAACAGGTCTGTCCGCTTCGCGAGCTCGTCTGGTGAAAAGTAGCGGGGGAATGATGCTGATGGGCGTGCCGTGGTACAGGCATTGGTGGTTCGATTTCTCCCGGCGCGGCACGATCTTATTGGGGGGCTTGAGGTTGGATTTGCGCCCGTCCGATCGACATCGGACGATGGTTGAGCCATCTGTGGCACTTGCAAGTCCGTCTGCTGCACTACCTCTTCCCTTCTCCTTGGTCCTTCTCTCGCCATGCCTTCCCCCTCCGTCTCCTCGTTCTCGCTCTCGGGAAGGGCTTCTTCCCTATAAGATGGGTCGTCCCGCTCGTCTTCGTCATTAGTTTCCTCCACGGTGTTTAAAGCCCTTCTCGCCGCCACCTGATACCCATTCTCTGGTCCTCCGCCCGTTCCGCTTACGTTTTCTCTCCTCGCCCCACGGCTTCCCCGCTCTCGAGATGGTGATTGCCGGAGCACCTGAGCCGTCGCCAGGGCTCGCTGCCGCCTGGTCGGCTGTGGTCGCCAGGCCTCCGGCGGAGCCCGAAAGGGCGACCATGGTGACGGAGCCCCCTCTACCGCCGGCTACAAAGCACGTGACAGCAGTCTCTGAAAAGGCTCCTCCCCACGCACCCGCGGCTCCCCTTGCCGGGGCAGAGGCTGGCCCGACCGCTCCCGCTGCTGTTCCGTCTGCTCCGCTTGCGTCACCAGGCTCCCTGGCTCCCCTTGTCGAGCCGTCGGCGTCTGCCCCTGCTGGGGGTGTTGCTGACCCCCCTGCACCTGTCCCTGGCGCCCGTGTTGCGCCGAACGCTTCTGCCCCCTGCCTGCCTGCGCAGGCCTCTGCTTCGTCACCAAAGGCGGCGTCCACCACCACTGGCGAACCGGCTCCGTCGGTTGCGCCTGCGGCGGTGGGTCAGTCCGCTCCCGCTGTGACGGCGGTGGTTCCTGCGGGCCAGCCGTCACGCCCTCCGTCGCCTGACCGTCGCTCGTCGCGGCCCCATTCCCCCGCTCCCCACCAGGACCGCAAAACATCTCGTCGCCGGCGTGAGTCTCCACGGCGGTACCAGCAACAGTCGTGCTGGCCTGCTCACCCCGGGGGTCAAGGGGATTGGAGGGGTCCCCGTGCTCGTGGCGGGGGTGGGGGGTATCGCCCGCCCGTGACGATGGCGGATCTTCAGCGGGAAGTGTCGAGGGCGGTTCGGGAGGAGAGGGCGGCGCAGAGCCAGAGCAGTTCGCTGCGCGCCTTGCCAGCCCGCGAGGCTCCCCGTCCGGCTGCGCTTCCCCCAAACCCGCAGCCTGTTGCTGCGCCTCCCCCCCAGATCCAAGCGCTGCCAGCTCTTTCTCCCGCTATATCGGCGCCTGCTCCCGGCTCTCGTCTCCATCTGCCGCCGGTTCCGGCTGTTGCAGGAGTGGAATTTGTGGCCGCAGGTGGCGGCTCGTTGGCGGCTCCGTTCGCTCTCCCTGCTGATGCTGATGAGCCGCTCCAGTTCCTGGCGGAGGCACTTCAGCCTCCGCAGACCCGTGTTCCCGAGGTGACTCTCGGACAGCTACACCGCCTCGCTGACAGTCTCCACGCTCTGCTGCTGATTCAGGTGCTGGCCCACTCGTCTCTCCCTGTGATCCCTCCTGAGACCTTCCGTGGCCGCCAGCATGACTCGTGCCTGGACGCGGCGGACCAGCTCGCGGTGCTGCTGGCACCCGTGCTGGCTGCGCCCGTGGAGGGTGGCGCTGCTGCTGCGGGACAGCTTGACGAAGCCGTCCGGGGCTTGAGGCGGCACTTGCGCGCAGGATCTGGATCTGCGGCGATCGGCGCAAGCACGCTTGTGGTCCGGGAGCTGTGGCGCTCCCTGACGGGCGTTCTTCACGCCCTTGGAGCTCACCGCATGTAGACGCGGGCTCCGTTTGCCCCATGCTTACTTTCCTTCAGCTAGATTGCCGTAGGACATGCCATGCGTGTATGCCTTCTTATATAAGCAACTGTGTGTCGTATGACTTGCCGTCCCCTCATGCGCTGCCGAAAATTTTAGCCGCCAACTGAATAATGAGGAAAGGGAGGGTGAGACGGGCCCTTAAATATCTAGGCAACTGAGGGCAGAGGCTAAGGGCAGAGGGCAGAGGCTATTCCTCTCTCTCTCCCTCTCTCTCTCTCTCTCTCTCTCTCTTTCTCTCTCTCTCTCTCTCTCTCTCTCTCTCTCTCTCTCTCTCTCTCTCTCTCTCTCTCTCTCTCTCGCTCTCTCGAACAAACGAGCGGAAAATTTCAGCCGCCAACTGAATAATGAGGAAAGGGAGGGTGAGACGGGCCCTTAAATACCTAGGCAACCGAGGGCAGAGGCTAAGGGCAGAGGGCAGAGGCTATTCCTCTCTCTCTCTCTCTAATGGTCCGTGTATTGGTGTATCAAGGAATACAAACATGCAGGCTATAGATGCTAGGGATGGGAACAAGCAAACACAGAAACAAAGAGCTAAGCAACTTATCTATTCGCCCATTAATGCCTGTCTACACCTCCATGAGAGGCTCTAGTACTACACAGCTATCCCCAAGGTGGAATTCTCCCTGCACCCCCCCCACAGGGGGATTTTCTGCTGCTGCCGCCTGACTGGACTTGATAAGGTAACCCACCAACTGTGCTCTCTGCAGAGCACAGGACCACCGTTGCCTGAAGAGATGAAGGAACCTAGCTGCATGGAATGAGTGTGGTCGGGCGTTGAAGTGCCGCCGAGCAGCCGTTTCCGCCAAGAGCTTCAGAAACTGTGGGACCTCCGCGCATGGGCACCCATACGTCTCAACCGCCAGGGGGAAAAAGGCAACCGTGTCAGGGCGGCTGGCATAATGGCTGATCTTCTTGTCGGCTTGTTCCCTGGCCGCCCAACCCCTTCCCTTGGTGGCTTGTGGGTCCCTGGTGCTGATCGGGTCGGTGATGGTGACGTCGCAGATGTACACCGCCCCCGAACTCTTATCACGTAGTGTCAGGTCTGCCGTTTGCTCTTCTACCGGGCAGTATGCTGCAGATTCTCCGTGAACTATGAAGCCGGCGTCCTCTGCCATCGAGATGCAAGCGTCACGAAGTTCATTGTGAGTATTAATCCTGTGCTTGCCAGTCCCGCAGCGGAAGAGGTGATTCGGCAGCCGTGGGTCAGTGATTTCAACGTGCTTAGAGCAGTCACACTTCGCGGGTGTAGAGAAGGGGAGGCCTAGCCTGAAGCGGACCGCGTTTGCTAAGTGAGGAGGGCCTACACGGCGGGTAGGTTCTATCGGGATAGCGGTTAGCCAGTCCCCTGTGCCGTAGCCTGTCAGGGAGAAAAGCCGTTGGGTGTGGCCTGACAGTGGGTTGAGACTCATGTGTCGTGTAGCCCGCACTTGCGTGGCATATCTACTCCCCTGCACCCGCACCCCAAGCTCGTGTTGCAGTTTCAGCCCCTTTGGCTCCAGCCTCTCCATGTCAAGTATGTCTCTAGCTTCTTGTGGAAGCGATGTCTCGCACTCCCCCAGCCACTGGTGTAAGGCGGTTGTGGGATCTCGAGGTAGGAGCATGTGGTCTCTGGCCGCCATCAGTGCTTCCTCTGTTTCTAACGGTAGTGAGCTTAGTAAGAGGCTAGACTGTGTAAAGCTAGCCAGGTAGCCGAAACGGCCTTCCACCGTGGGGTCCGTTAGTCCAATACCGCCTAGTGACGGTGGGAGTGAGGACTGTTCCCAAACCCGACTCTGTTCTGTGCTGTCCGCCGGGAATCGAATGCCACATGCTGTGAGAAGCGTGGCGAGGAGGTCCATACCCCACTGGGACCAGGTGTCATGGTTCAGGAGATTTAGCGGGTTCGTTCGTATGAGGTATCCTACACAGCGGCAGATGCAGCGTGTGAGGAGGAGGGAAGCTATCTGCGGGTCTAGGCGCTCGATCAGAGGTAGTGGCCTTGTCATGTCTTGTAGCTGGGCTGCTAGGAAGGCAGCAGCGCCTTCCGGTGTGCCTAGGAAACTGCCCAGAAGTTTAACGCCCGCATCACTAGTAGGGACTCCTGTCGGCAGTCGTACTGAACTATCTAGCGGCTGTCTGCTCCATGCGGCACATTTCTCGGGGTTGTGTCGCAAACCCAATTGAGCTAGCTGACTGGTAAAATGGGAGAAAGCTGCGACAGCCTCCTGTGGTTCGCCCAGGAAGCTCACGTCGTCGGCGTATGCCAGGCACAGCACGCCGGGGTGCAGTGCTGCTGTTGTTCTTAGTGCAGGGTGGATCCCAGCCGCAAAAAGTAGCGGCCCTAAGGGATCGCCCTGCCGGACCCCACGCTCGCTGAGTATAGGCCGGCTGTTGAAGTTCGCGTCCAGGTACAGTAAGGATGGTTCCCCGTAGGTCAGTTTTACTAGCGGCAGTAGTGGTGATAGGGCCGGGTCCTGTAATGCTGTCACTATGGCTTGTCGCGAAATGGTGTTGAAGGCGTTGGAGATGTCAGTTTGCAGAATGAGGCAGTTGGGGTGATTGTCAGTGTATGCACGTGCGCTGTGGATGATTGCCTCCGCTCCCCTGGTACTGCGACACCGTACTGCAGCGGAAGAAAATAGCCGCGCGCCGCCTCGCCAAGAGTTGACAGTGCGGCTTTTGCCACCAGTCGGGTCAGACATTCGCCGACTGCAATTGGTCGAGCCCCTCCTTCAGGTTTGGCCAGGGCAATCAGGCGGGAGGATGTGCAGTTTTCCTTTCAGAATCGTATTCACCAAGGCATGGAGATGGGTGGAGACAGATGCATTTGTTACTGACGCATCGCGTAGGTGTTCAAAAGTCATTCCGCTCGGGCCGGCCCCCACCCCATTCTCGCATCGGCTGAGCAACTTCGAAAATTCCGCGTATGCGATCTCGAGGTAGGGTTGGTCAGCGTTGACTGGCCAGGTCAAAGGGTCGGGGTCCGCCGGTGGGTGTTTGTCCCGGAGTTCATCCAGGATTTCTGGACAGGGCGTGCAGACCGGCGTTGACTCGAGCGCCATCACGGCTCGGCGCAGGCTCCCCTTTTTCGCCAGGCCCTCCGCTCTGTTGATGATTCCGACTTCGTCAGGCTGGTGATGTGGCGAAGGTGGTGTGTTGACTGCTTCCACCGCGTCCATGTACAGCTGTTGCCACTCGCCGCGTTGAAATGCTCGGAGACGCGCTTTGATTTTGGGCCAATCTGGGCGCCTTGGCGAAGCTTGTCGCAGCGTGAGGCGAGGTAAAAATAGGAGTAACTTCCATCCCGCGACAGAGTCAGGGGTTCGCGAGAGGTGCAGAAGTGGTGTCAGGACCACGAGCGAGAATATCTCGCACAGATTTGGCGGTAGCCGTCGTAACAGCATGGGTTGGCGACTATCGCAGAGCGGTGTAATTTCCCATTCTGCCACTTCGGCAAATTTGTCAGCCTGCCTCGCCAGTTCCTCTGGCGAAAAGTAGCGGGGGTTTTGAGGCTGGCAAGTCGCCCCCGCCTGACCCCTCGTGGCCCGATTTCCACGTCCGCGACCCGTAGCATGAGTAACAGGCGGGATTGGAATCGTGGCCGTTCGATCGGCATCATGTGGCCCCCGTGTGTTGCCTGGCTGTGCTGTCGTTCCTCCACGGCGTCCCCTGCTTCCTCTCGTCAAGTACTCTCCCTCCTCGTTCTCCTCCTCGCTGTTGCTGGTCGGGGCTTGTTCCTCCTCCCTATAAGAAGGGTCGGTTTGCTCCTCCGGATCATCATTCCCGTCTAGACGAATTAAAGCCCTACGTGCAGCCGCCTGGAACCCATTCTCCGGTCCGCCTTCCACTCTCCGCCCTTCCCGGCGTTCTGCTCCTCGTCTCCTCCCGCCTCGCGATGGTGATTGCTGGCGACTCGTGGACATCGCCAAAGAAGCCGCCAGTCCCCCCTGCCCCGAAACTAGCCCCCTTGGCCGCCGGTTGCCCTGCGCCTCCGGCTCCGGGCCTCGTGTCGTGTGAGACGCAGGCTGCTCCGTACCATCCTGCTCTCCCAACCCCTGCTGTTGTTCCGCCTGTCCCTGTGAACCCTGCGGCACCGACTGCTGCCGCTGATCCTGCTCCACCAGTTGCACCTGCTCTTGACGCCCCGATGGTCGGCGCTGCCCCTGCTGGCGCCGTGGCGTCGCAACCGGTGGTATCCGCCACCACTGACGACCCGGGCCAGGTGGCAGTCTCTGTTGCTCCCGCCCCTCCGACTGCACCGCCTCCCGTGCCGGCCCCGGACTTCCAGGCGGTGCCTGATCCTGCGCCGCTCGCTGCTGTTCCCCCTGCTTAGCGTCAGCCGTCTCCGGGCCGCTGGCAGCATCGGCCTCACTCTCCTGCGGCCCGGGACGAGCGAGAGACGACGCGGCGGCGACACGATTCTCCTCGGCGCCGAGGGTCACAGGCGAACTGGGCTGCGTCACGTGGCGGTCGCGGTGGCTGGTGGGGGGGGCGCGGTCGTGGTGGTGGCTGGGCGTATGACCAGCCAGTAACGATGGCTGATTTACAGCGTGTTGTATCTGATGCGGTGCGACTGGAGCGAAACGGGCAGGCGAGCCAGAGCAACTCGCCGCGCGTCGCTCCAGCGCATGCGTCCCGTCCTCCGTCTGTGCTCGATGAGCCTGCACCTCCCCTTCCCCAGTCAGCCGTTCCCCCTCCCCTAGCGCCCTCTGCGTCTGCCGCTGCTCGTGGGAACCGGATGCGCCTGCCGTGGGTTCCTCCTGTGGCGGGTATGGAGTTTGTGGCCGCGGCTGGAGGACAGGTGACGGCGCAGTATCCCTCTCTACTGCCTGTTGCTCCTGCTCCTCCGGCTGTATCAGTGCCCGTACAGTCACTGGTGGGGCCCCTTCCGTCAGCCGAAGTGCCGGAGGCGTCGCTGGGGCAGCTGTGGCGCCTCTCTGAGGGTCTGCGGGCAGTGCACCTGATTCAGGTGTATGGTC